AATTTAAGGACAAAATCCTGCAGAAGATGCTGTGTTGTGATGGTGGAGTTTGGTACCTCAGGATACATTTGTTAAAATGTGGATTTGGAAGGGCTTAGGTATTTAAACCGACTTTTACTACTGTTTAGCATCGTGTATACTCTGCTAAATAAAAGCGTAATGAACCCTGAAAAAATTTACAGACTAGATTTGATGTATTTTTTTTGTGTGTACAGAATGGGCACTTTTAGGAATTTTAATTTCAGTAACTTTGCTCTTCCTTGATGCTAGTTTTGGTAAAAGAACAGATATTTTGGCAGGTTGAGACTAAAGTGCTGATGAATTAATTTGATTCCATAATCTGTTTCTCAGTTTTATTTGGAGAATACTTATGGAAAATATTAAAGTGTCTCCTGAAGCAAGTATGAACGTAGTCATAAAAATAGCTTCAAACCAAGGTGGATCATTTATTGGCATGACATATCATGAACTGAGGGGAATCTCTTGCCTGAAAGTGATTTTTTTCCCTGCCTCATTGCTGTGACTGTGTGTGTAGCTATTGTGCTTGTATAACTCCTGTAGAACTGTCTCAGCTAACAAATGGAGCTGAACGTATTTCATTTTGTTGTTGGTGCGTTTATGAGTCATTTGTGGGTCTCCCATTAAGTTGTTGTGAGGTTTTCCAGTAATCTAGGAAGTGTTTGAACCGCACTGATGCCCATCAGAGGAAGGAAGGACTCAGTGTTTGAAGGCAGGAGGCAGCAGCTGTTGAATTCTCTTAGTGCCCTGGGGAAGAGGGTGTTCTGTTCCTCCAGGGTGGTGGTGCCAGGGTGGTGTGGGGCTGGCTGGGTGCCCTGTCTCAGCCAGGGGTACAAGGGCTGTGTGCCCCAAGGGTGGCACTGAATGGGCTGCCAGGGCACAGGAGCAAACAGGCCCTTGGAGATGGCATCGAGTGTGTCCTCAGTGCAGCGGGCACAGCTTGTGGCCAGGACTGCTGTGGTGGAGCTCAGCAATCTCTCAATCTCACTTTAGGAAGAASTGAGATGATGCTCAGATGCCAAGGGACAGAGGGTCCCATTTATCTTTTTTCCCCAATTAAAAGGTCAGAAGAACCTGCACTGTGCTGTTTCCACCTTCCCTTACAGGAGATTTCTTTTGCTTTTCAGGTATTTCTGCTCAATTTGTTGCTCTACATCAATAATTCGGTGTGTTTTATTTGGAAGCTGTATGTACAGGGAAAAATTCTGGCCTGTGATGATTCTTGTTTGTTTCTTTTAAAATTAATTTATTTTTAAAGATTATGCTTTAGTATGCCACTCCCAAGTCCTGCAGCACTGAAGGATTGAAGTTAGGTCTGCTATCCCTGTTGCTCTGACRTTTCTGCCAGACCTAAGTATGAAAGCTGATCTTAGCTGAGTGGAAAGGTGGGCACTTGGGATGAGGTGTGGTTGTTGAGGCTCTGCTGCTSTTAGTGGAGCTGAGGAGTATGTTGTGTATAGATTAGGAATGGTTTGTGTTCATAAAGGTCCTGTGCTGCCAGGAGGAGAGGTGACCATTGCACGTGTATTCTCTGTGCCAGTGACAGGCGTTCTGCCAGCTCCCAATTTTAAAAGGCTTGCAAAGACACCTGATCTTGCTGAAAACACCTGTAGCCCTCTGTTATTACAAGATTGTCCCTATGCAGAGGTTTGCTRCTTGGTGCTTTTATATAAGCAGACTATTGATAGGAAATCGGATAGGTTTTAAGTTAGGAACTACAACTTGAGGGGGTGTAAGTGGGTCTATTGATAAAAGTCACATCCTGATTCATTATTAGTTAGTAGTTGTTACTCTCTGGATGACTCTCTAAGTTCAATCTGCTTTTTCCTGTATTTCATAGAGAGCAAAGTAAAGTTTTCATGTAGACACACCTTTTGAAGATGTTCACTCTGTCTTGTCTTGTCACTGCTTCAGTCACAGTAAGCTGCTGATACAAAGTGACCAGTTTTGGGCAAGATGTACTGAACAAGTGGTGATTATTTTGCCTTGTTTTTGTTCCCCGGGGTTCTCCAATTCAGCTTTYATGGCTGAATTTTTTGCAGGTAGCATGATGGTGACTGACTGGGGATGGTGGAGGACTGCTTAGTTTTGCATTGCTGAAGCCTTTATGTCACAAAGTGTGCTTCAGCTGAAAAAAAAAGGCAGTGCCCATGGTGGCACAGCTGTGTAAGTAATGTTGGTGCTTTTGGGGTTTTTGCTTGAAGGCGTTGTTTGGGGTTTTTTTTTGTTACTGGTGGGTTTTGTTTGTTTGTTCTGTTTTTCTGTAAGGGAGTATATGAAGGAGGTGGCCCTAAAAATACTCTGCCCTCTATTCAAGTGGCTTCATAGTTAAAAAGTCAGGAATGCTGATCTGGGTGCTTGGAACGGACTCTTTCTGGAGGAGGGAGATACTGTAGATCAGTGGGTTGGTGGCTTTGGCTCAGCGGTGATTTGCCAATACCAGGAGTAGCTGCTTTGCCCTATAGCTGTTGGAATTTATCTAGTACCAGGATCTGTCTCTCACTAACAATTCAGAGTTAGATTGTGGAACAGCCCAAGTATTGGGAAGTGGATATGGGATATAGGAGAAGTTTGGCGTTACTTTACATTTGAGAGGGAAAATGGATTTCCTAATAGGTGACATGTGAAGGGTGACCTTACAAACACAGTCGATGTTATTTTTTAGACAAGTGCTATAATTGCATCTCGCAGGTACCATGACAAAATTGATGGGATATTGGTATTTTTCCTGGAGTCGAATGTGCTGGCATTGGGCTTACCAGGCATTCTCTGCATTGTGGCAGTTCATAAATCAAAGCCCACCTTCAGGTTTTTGCTTTGGCAGTTCTAGAGGCAAATTTTGGGCGTTAATGTCTTTGCGTTGTGCTGTTGGGTGCTTCCAGCAGTGCTGCTGTGTGTTGGAGGTGCCCGGTCTGGTTCTGCTGCCCCTGCCCGTGCCCAAGCMCGGCTCAGCMCGGCTCAGCACGGCWYRGCAYGGCAYGGCCCGCAGCGGTGCCCTCTGCAGGCTCCTTTCAGCACTGCAAGATGTTATTTTTGAAATTACCTAAATTTCCGTTAATTTAATTTAATCCGTATGTGATACTCTGACTGTGTACTTGAGCACGGGACATCTCTTAAAACCTTTTCTTGTCTGGCATGAATTAGGTACCAGACAAGAGTAGGTGAAATATTTGGTTTTGTTCTGAAAGGATGCAGCCCATGCAATCAGTTTTCAGCTGAATTGTTTCTGAAATAGCTATTGGGGAAGAGGTTAGACTAATTAAATGAGGTATTGCCTGTTGAGAGTGCTCCTGTCCTAACTGTATTAGGGTGTGCAGCATTTGAAGTGGAAAATCCACCAGCCGGGTAGAATACAAGCAACTTGCAGCTTAAGCTCATTTTGAAGCAGACAGCAGGTCCTAGATAGGTTTAGAAAGAAGCCTCTGATCCCCTGTGATGAATGAGTAACCATTAATGATACAAGCTTAGTATTTTCTTTATTTTTTCATAGCAGGCTATTGTGTAMAAGAGGCTCCTTGCTAAAGTTGTTATTGATGGATCCTGGGCACTGTGTGACAAATGCCAGCAGTATTTAGCTAAAAATAGATGACAAAGACGCTTATGCTAGCTCTTTATAACCTTGTGTAGTTATCTGCAAGAAATGTATCATTTTAGGAAACTTTCCCAGCTGACATGAATAGAGGCTTGTTTGTAGGGTATTTTAAGAGAAAACTCTCCCATTCAAGGCCTGGACTCTGGCCAAGTCCTGGCCCTGGCTTGTCGGGCAGTGTGCTGTCAGATCCAGGTGTTTCTGTGCTGAAAATWTAATCAAGTCCCTTTGCCTTGCTGATTTGGGCCTATAAAAGCTGGACCCACTTWTGGGGCCAATCTGGAGAYCTCACCTATGGGTGGATGCACTGCATAAGATGTTCCAAATTGCTGGAAAGTGTTTCTCCAGGTCCTCGCTGTGAAACAAGGCTCCCCACTGACTGTGGACTCTGGATGATGGTAAAATATTTAGGCAATTGGTGCTGGATCTTTCTCAATCACTATCCTTTCTCTTGTATAGTAATGATTAGGTGCATTACCTTGCTTATTTTTGCTTGTTGCTAAAGCCAGGCGTGTAGTTACACTGAATGTATCATTTTACTTTTGTGTTGCCTTAATATTCATAGTAAAATAAGACCATTCTTTCCATTCTTTCTTGGTCTCCATGTTCTTTAAATCACCCTGTCAGTTGGCAGGACAGTTGCCTCATGTTATCTCGGTGCTGAAAGCTGGTTTGTTGATCAGCCTCATTGAATAGCTTGAGTGAATGATGAATTCTGTACAGAATTTGCCAGGTGTGCAARAAATGCCATTTCAGCACTTGCCATGGTCACGGTGCTCACACGAGGTCCCTGCAGTGCAGAAAGCAAAGGCGGTGCTGCCAAYGTGGGTTTGGTGATGTCACTGATGGTGGCAGAGGTTAAAGCTGCCCAGTTGAGCAGGTTGTGGATTGAGAATGCTGCAGTTCATGTTACTGAATCACAGCATACTAATGACTGTGTGTGCTGGACAGGCACAACTCGACTGACATGAACGCATTTCAGCCGTGTTGTGAATTGGCTGCTGTTGCAGAAGTGTGGTGATCACACCACTGCCTGAGCCCAGCTGCAGTAACGGGCCTGGAGCAGCTCTCCCTGGGATAATGGTGCCACTCCAAGAGTGAAGAACAGTTTAAAAATCTACTGTGCCCTAAATGTGGGTGAAATATTAACKATATTGAATATAGGTGGCAAACAATATGAAATATTAACTATAGGTAAATTATATTGACACGTGACTAAAAAGAAAGCAAATATTGTCTCTTAGTCAGTCCATGGATCTTCAGAACTTCCCCAGGTGATGTGGTAAAAATCATTTGTGTGCTACAGTTGTGYAGCACAGTAACTACAAGTGCCTCATGCATTATTAGAGCCCGAGTATTTAAAGAAGCTGTTTGGATTTTTCAAGGAAACAAATGATATCTCTTTCTCCTCCTTGCAGATGGATTGAATCTTCTGTATTGAAAACCTCTGGATTTCCTGTTGGATTTCACATCTGGAGAAATACTTGTGATTTAAGCCACTGTGGCAGACTGAATTGTGGATCCTGGGTTCCCAAGACTTTAGCTCTTGAGGAGAAGCCACTGCTCGATCACGTTAACCTGACATCTCAGCCACSATGGTGCTGTCACAAAGGCAACGAGATGAGCTGTAAGGGATTGTTGTTCTTAAGTTTGTTGCATTTTCATTATTAGCATTTGTTTCTAAATAGATTTTAGAGTGGCTGCGTTCACGTGCCCATTAAGTCCTGTGTATTGTGGTTTAGATCTCTCTACTCTTTATTTTTGATAGAACTGCTGGTATTTGAAACTAGAATTGGGAAATGATGRAAATACAATTTCATAGTTGCTGGTGACATAAGAAATGGATTCTTCTGTTTGCAATAAGCACATTACAGTAGAAGATGTAATCTGTGAATTCTACATTTATCTTGAGTAAATTCAGCAATTTTTTTGCTATTTTACTTTAAAACATAGACAAGGATCTGATCAGAATGTGCTAAGATGACAATCTTTCTATGACTCCTTAAATTGTATTTACAATGTTGTTTTGTAGAAATCGAGCGATAGCAGATTACCTCCGTTCCAATGGCTACGAGGAGGCATATTCGGTTTTTAAAAAGGAAGCTGAGTTAGATGTGGTGAGTTCAAACAACATTCTTCATCTATATTTTAATTTAGAAATCTGTCAGTTTTATGACATTTGCATGTGTTCTGTGTCTTTATTGCCTACCTGTTAGCTCAGGCAGTTGCAGAACTGGAGGTGATGCACTCAGGTTATTGCCTTGCCAGAAAAGGGAAAAATAATCATTGGGTAACTKGACCATTTCTGAGCAAATGGTTTTATAGCCAGATTTGAAATGAACTGAGATTGCAGCTTTGGAGACTGACTTCCCATGTCCTAAAGATTCCCAGTGAAGACAAAACTGGGTTAGTTTTGCCCTCTTGCTTTATCATACTGGGCCAATGTTGGAAGTTTCTTTTGAGATTTGAGTTGGGTCAGGAGTGAAGTCATTTCCTGAATCTGTTGTGTGCCCCTTGGGTAACCATTTAGTTGGAGGCCAGGCTGAAACTGTTSATAGAAGTTCATCATCCAGTAAAGCCAGGYTGGACAGGGCTTGGAGCAGCCTGGTYTAGAAGAACGTGAGGTTGAACAAAATGAGATTCAAGATCCCTTCAACTCAAACCAATCTGTGATTGTGTGACCAGCTCTGGTAAGCAGCTCTGTTTGCTTAGACTGKACAGATGCCTGTGACTCAGAGCAGTCATTTCTTGCAACTTCATTTTGTTGATTTGCCTTTGTCACAGATGATTTGATAAGATTTTTAACTTTGCCACCTATTAGCATAGGAGGTGTGCATTTCATCTGGCTACAGCTGGATTGAGTAGTAAACCTCTGTGTGCTGACTCTGGATAAATCCTTGCCTTTTCTTTATTGCATACCTTGAATTGTTCTTTTTCCAAAATGCTTGGTTGAAGTTTGACTTAATTTCTCCAATTTGCTRCTAATATCTAATAACTAAATATAAATGACAAATTGAAATAACGTACTTATAATTGAAAATCCTAATATCATTCCCCTGTTTGCCTTATCTATCAACCTAATTTAGTCTCCACTTCCCAAAGCTTAGGRAAGCAATCTAAATAGGTTAGAGGGTCCTGAGGGAAAGAGAATGCTGTTGCTAAAAGTTTCACGACTTTTATGCAAGAAAATCTGAATTGGAGTGGGCTATACTAAAATGGAAACAAAGGTAAAAGCTGAAATTATTGGAGTAAATTAGAAGGATTCAAGTGTAGTTCTGCAGATAGGGATTTAGTTTTTGTATGGATTATTCATGCAAAAAACTGCAGCTTTTRCAAGTGCCCCAAATAGTAGATCTGTCTGTGACCAAGGCAGCCAGTCCTYAGAGCTTTTATCTTCCATGGAGTAAGCCATGGCATGGCTATTTTCTGATGTCTCCCCTGCATTTAATTTAGGATTATTGTAGCATGAGATTGTCATTGTGTACGTGGAAAGAAAGTGTAGCATTTCATTACTGTTCTGTGTCTCTGATAATTGTTTTTCTGTGTTGCTTTTCTTCCTCTTTCTTCAAATGCTTCTCCTCAGAATGAAGAGTTAGATAAGAAGTATGCTGGACTTCTGGAAAAAAAATGGACATCTGTTATAAGATTACAAAAGAAGGTAAGTAGAGAGCTGATGGATTTACATGTATGAAAAAGCACAGAAAGCTTTCAGCACTGCACAGAATGTTACATATCTTCCTTGTCAGATGAATACAGGGGTTAGTCAAGTTGATGCCTCAAAAATGAATGTTGAGGGCTTGAGTAGGAAAGATGGTGAAACCCATGTTGTAGGACGTGTTTTGTCTGTCCCAGTGCTGGCAGTCATCCCCTTGGTGTCTGTGTAAAAAATCCTGGCCTTCAGTTGATGGATTGCATGTACAGTCCTGAAGCTGGAAAGGCAAGGGGTGGGTGCCTTGAGGCAGTTGGTGAGTGGGGAGGTGGAATTGCTGTGTGCAGAGGTTAGGCTGGGTTTAGAACAGAGGGAAAATCAGTGCTGCCCGTTGTCTYTGGCCATGGCCCTAGAGGGAAGGARCCATTAGCTCCAGTGCATTAGAGTGGGGGATTGTGCTGCAAGTGGAGAGTACAAAACTCTTTTTAGTTATGCTTCAGTGGCTCAAGAGTGTATTAAAAGCAAAARCCCCCTAGAATCAGTGTGTTAACAATGAAGACCTACCCCTTGTGCAGGTTAATACAGCGTGGGTTTATTAGCCCTGCAGTGTCTCTGTTTTTGGATAATGTGTGTGCTAGCTCCAACATGACATGRCATCCCTGCAGCAGTAATATTCCTTTTTGTTAGCACACATTTCTTCAGTATTCTTGGCACAATAGTAATTCAGATGTATTTTACAGAGTGTGAATGAAGGGGATTTTGTAGAACACTTTTTTCCTGTGAAAATTTTTGGGAATTTGAAAAGAATCAATGATTAATGATTAAATTATTAAGAATTAACTGAAARCTATTGAAGAATAAACTATAAATGAATACTTTAGGTTTAATTTTTAACACCTGTGCTACTGAACATTGCTTATCAGTTTGAGTCCATGCAGTTTTTGCTTTACTGTGAGTTTAGGTRTCAGTTGTTACTTGGATTACTGATGGAAGAAGGGGAATTAGATCCTGTATAAAAACAGAAATAAAAGGTCTCTTTAAAATTCATCCACTTAGGTAATGGAATTAGAATCGAAGCTGAATGAAGCTAAGGAAGAATTTACATCAGGTGGACCTCTTGGTCAGAAACGAGACCCTAAGGAGTGGATTCCTCGTCCTCCAGAGAAATATGCGTTGAGTGGGCACAGGAGTCCTGTCACTCGAGTCATTTTCCATCCAGTTTTCAGTGTTATGGTCTCTGCTTCAGAGGATGCCACAATAAAGGTATGTGTGTGCTGCAGACAGCTGCCTGTGGAATAGGTGACATCAGTGATCATGTTCTGCTTCAGCTTCATGAGGGACAGTTCTTTCACATGTGATGCCCTGTATAATCTACAGATACTTTTATGCTGGTCCAATTAATGTCTTAAGGTGTATTTTACTATCTTTTTTTATGAGTTAAAAATACTGAAGCTGCTGTGGATTTAGACGTTTAACCATTTTCAACAGCAGAAGCAGCAACAGCTCCAAGTGTGCTGGATGTTATGGAGGAGTCCAGTCAGTTTTGTTTTCACTCTTTTATGGATACTCTGGATGAATTTCCATACTTTTGAAGTCTAGCTGTCTAACTCAATGTGACTGTTGCCTTCACAATGATTGCAATCTACTTGGATAGTGGATTATTTGTTGGGTGTTTTTTGGTGAATTTTGTTTAGAATATCATTCAAAATTAAATGTCTAATTTTGTGTTTGAGACAAACAATAAAATCTGTAGGAGCCTGTTTTATTTTAAAGGTTTTGTTGTTAGATGATAGGAGACTGACTTAATTAGGAGAACAGAACTTGAAGCTCATTTGCAGTTATTGACTGCARGTGTTTGTTTAACTTGAGCAATTCTGTAATCTCTGAATGTCTGAATATGTGTGTATCAAACTCTTCAGAGGGGTTTGTATTATCAGCCTTAACCCAAAGCATTTTGAGTATTGCTCTGTGGTATGCAGAATATTTGCTGGTTGGTTCTGAAGCAGGCAAGGAAATTGTGGAGCCACAGTAATGCTTGGGAAAGGTGAAGGGGATGTTAAAGATGATCCTTTCCCCGCACTTGAAAGTAAATTCTGTTGCTGGAGTTATGCAAATAGCACAGAAATGGATGGAGAAAAATGGTCTGTGCAAGGTGGATTTGTTCTGTCAAGTATTTTCTGAATTGATCTTCCTTCTTTAGGGGAATTGGGTATTGAGACTTCCAGATGCAATGGAACTTGTTCTCCAGTTGGGTTTATAATGCTTAAAGTTAACTGAAAAGCAGTTGTCAAAATGCATGAATTCAGTTAATTTATAAGTAACAAATGACATTAAAAATACTTATTTTTATCTGCGGTTTAACTTTTTAGGGCTGTCTTTGTCTCTTGCTGGATTAATTGTTGAACAAGGTGCCAAAGTGGCCTGCAGAGTGCAAATGTGAAGCTGGAGAATTCAAAGGGTAATAGGCTGCTGCTAACAGGTTTTCTGTTCCCTTGTCAGGTGTGGGATTATGAGACAGGAGACTTTGAGMGAACCCTGAAGGGGCACACAGATTCTGTGCAAGATATTTCCTTTGACCACACTGGCAAACTCTTGGCCTCCTGTTCTGCTGATATGACCATTAAGCTATGGGATTTCCAGGGCTTTGAGTGCATCAGAACTATGCATGGTAAGGTATAAAGGGATTGATTTAACAGTCTGTAAAGTGAAGAGGTTTTTTTTTTAATCCAGGAAAACTGCTGATGTGGAAAGGGGTTATAGACCAGACTATTTTCCAAAAGAAAAAAGGGGATAATTTGGGGCTTTGAGTGCTCTGTAAATAGGAGATACTTGTAGTGTCTATGGAATGAAATAGCATCTCAAATCTRCTATGCACAATGGTGTGGGAAGCATCCCATAATGATACTGAAATAAAATGACAGAAGGATTTTAGCTTTAAATATTAAATGCTTRCCAGACAATAGAGCTGCTTTCAAATCAGTGAAAGATTCCTTCCTTCAGCCCTCTGTGTTCCTGCTGCAGGAAGGGGGCAGTCAGTACCAGAGGAGCTGTGGTTGTGCTATGTGGGGTTTGGCTGCATGTTTTTGTTCACATGGAAATGTTCCCTTTGTGCTGGGTTTGAAGGCTGTAGGAAAAATGAGAAAGTGCAACAACCACAGCTGTAAGATTCTAGTATTGACAGCCAGTATTTACTCCAGTCTATGTAAAAGCTTTTTTCTTGCTTGTAGGATCATCTTGTAGAAGTGGTGAGTAGGAATAGAGAATATTTCATACTTAAGAAACACCCACCCATAGATACACTCACATAAACAGAAAACACCTTTAAGGATGCTCAGTGTCTGGATTGTGTGGGTTCTAAAAATATGAATGATTATTTCAYAAAACCTCAAGCTTGTGTGAAAAGATTGTTCCATAAAGCACATGCTGCTGCTGTAGCCACCTGACCAAGSGAAAAAAAATGGCAAGTCCTATGTAAACTCTGCCAGTGCCACTTAATAAGAGTTTTATTTTGTTTTTAGGTCATGATCATAAYGTTTCTTCAGTAGCCATCATGCCCAACGGAGATCATATAGTTTCTGCCTCAAGGGATAAAACTATCAAAATGTGGGAAGTCCAGACAGGGTAAGTGCACTTAGGAGAAAACAGCCCCAGAACAAAGGGAGCAGAAACAGGACACAGGAATCTGAATGTCAGCAGTCACTATTTGAATTGAGAAATGAKGTTGTGCTCTTTAGAATCATTCACTGAAGGATTCTGCCTCGATCATTTGCCAGGGAGGTTTAGATGTTAATACTGACTAATTAACTGGTTTTGTCTTTCTGGAAGCTGTGAAGGGAGATCTTTGGCTCATGACCAGATAAGAGAATAAATTCATTGTTTAACCATGAGTTTAAAGGGARTAACTGTTACCTTTCTTGACACAGACCATGGTGTCTCCTGGCTTTTTTTTTTGTCTTCTTGCTTGTTTAATTTATCCGTTGTCTCTAATATCCAAATGATTTGTAAATCTCTATTTCTTCGGAAAGTATCTATTTAATGCAAGTAGTCATATTAATTTAATCTGCCCCCAAGTTTCATGCCTTTTGCCTTAACAAGTTTTTGCAGGCTCTTAGCTGTCACTTTCTCATGTCATAAACTGTTTATGGCATGGTCCATCCCCTGCCAGGATGAACACGTGTGTGCTGGAATATTTTATCTTAACCCCTAAGAATAGATTAACTGTCCTCAAAGTGCCAAGGCACACGCAGTGGGTTGTTGCCATGCTGTTTGAGTCATGCTGTGGTTTTTTTTTTGCACAGTTACTGCGTGAAGACTTTCACGGGGCACAGAGAATGGGTGCGCATGGTGCGGCCCAACCAGGATGGCACCTTGATTGCCAGCTGCTCCAACGACCAGACGGTGCGTGTGTGGGTGGTAGCGACAAAGGAGTGCAAAGCTGAGCTCCGAGAGCACGAGCATGTGGTAGAGTGCATTTCCTGGGCTCCTGAGAGCTCCTACACCACCATATCAGAAGCTACAGGATCAGAGGTAATGTTCCCAGGCTGTTACGCAAGCATGCTCAGGGAGATCTTTGTCTGTGCTCTGTGTAGCGCTGACAGCGACTGAACTTTGGGCTCAAATGGTCTGGCAGGTACAGCAGGTGTGTGAGTGCTTCCATTTCTGTGTCTTGTGCAGTAAAGTCTCATCTTGGCTTCACAGGACCCAGATTTTGTGTTGATCAGTAGGGCCTACCTTTGCCCTGTTGAAAATGAGCTTTGGAGAGATGTTCTGTTCAGGGTGGGACCACTGTCTTGTATTGCAGCAAATAGATAGGGAAGGCAGCTTCTCTGGCAGAATTTAAGATTATAAGGATGTTCAGCAATTGGAAGGTGGAGGGGGGGAAGGAGCCAGTCAGGAATGCAGAATGAAGCTGCCTTGGGTGCAGTGTGCACTGTGCTGGAGTCAAGCATCCACTGCTGTGTGCTGCTAAACAGGTACTGATGGGGGAAAGCACTCCTTAACTAATATAAATCCCAGTTTGTGGGATCGCAGATAGCTCTTCTGGTGAGCCTCAGGAAAGGCTTGCTAAAGACCAGAGGAAATTCCTTCTAAGGATGTCCAAGGGTAGAAGAAAGGAACTAGAAATCAACTCCAATTTCTGGCCAAACCCCCCTCCTGGCATTGCTGTTTTCCCCTCCACCTCCAAAGGTCATGAACACCTCCAGGGGAGGTTCAGCTACACTGAACACAGGGACTTGTCTAGTGATGGTTTTACTTGTTGTTTGAGTCAAATTTTACTGGAATCCGTAAAAGATCCTTGTAATCTTTTAATAAATGAAAACGAATTGGGGCTGTGTGGGGCTGTGGCGGTGCCTGCTCTGCCCCCTGCTGGCGGGATCGGGCACGGCACGCACCCAATACCTGCTCTGTACACCTGGGCAGGTACAGCCGGTGTGAATACACAGAAAAATCAGTCAGAGTAGGAGGTTTTCACAAATTCCTAACACTGCTCCATTGCATTTTATGAAGAGCATGAACACAAAGGTGTATGTGTAAGCTGCATCCTCATTTGGTCTGAGATGAGGCACTTGAGCTGGGTTGCTGTTAACAGAGGGTGTCTTGCAGTAGGTAGGTGTGTATTCAGAATGATATTTGGCTTGTGGCATCAGCAGGACAAAAATCATTTATTTAACAGATTGTTGAATTCTCCTAGCATTAGTAGCAGTGCCTGTGACTCAGCTTTGGCAGTGTGGATTTATTCATTGTAAGCTGTCGTATGATCTGATTTTGGTACTAAGCAATGGCACTGGGAAGGGATCTGCTTCATTTCTCCTCTTTTCCATCSTATGTACACTATAACTCAAACCATAATTTTCTGTAGACTAAGAAGAGTGGCAAGCCTGGGCCTTTTCTGCTGTCTGGATCCAGAGACAAGACCATTAAGATGTGGGACATTAGCACTGGCATGTGCCTTATGACACTTGTAAGTCCAYTGGTGGTTTTTCTGGCAGTCATAACTGCGTTTGTACAATCAGTTTTAATCAAATGTACTGTCTTGCATGTTATGTTTTCAAAAGCAGCTAGAGTTATAACAGAAATGCTGGAAACATAGTTTTAATGGCTTCTATAGTTTTGGTCTTCTTGTTGCTTAGAAATACTGAAAACCTCTAGAACCATAGTGTGAACACACTGCTGTGGTGTAGATTAAGTGATGAGTAGCTTGGTTTGTTTACAGAAGTGCAGGTAATGATCTGAATTTTGTCTTCTGTGAAATGTTACATTGTTCCTCTCTTGGCCATAGTCTGCTGTYCCCAGCTCARATTCCAGCTGGACTGGGTGSTGGTGCTGGGGCTGGAGAGCAGAACTGGTGCAGATCACATGAGGACTGCTGTTTGTTTGCCTTCAAGGACAGGAATTTGCATTGTTGGGGGAACTGATAGAGGTGTAATAATAGAAACTGGAGATAAGCTGTGAGTTGTGACAGGTTCCAGGAGCTCAGTGCTGTCCTTTTGGGGCCAGGCAGGGGTCCCTCAGTGTGTGAGGTGTGGGATGCTCAGCTCACARYCTGCACCTGCTCACTSATCTCTCCTTGTGCACAAGGTGGGCCATGATAACTGGGTACGTGGCGTCCTGTTCCATTCTGGAGGAAAGTTTATTTTGAGCTGTGCTGATGACAAGACTCTCCGTGTCTGGGACTTCAAGAACAAGCGATGCATGAAAACCCTCAACGCGCACGAACACTTTGTTACCTCTTTGGGTATGTATCAGGGGCTGGCATTCAGCTTTCTCAYCTCACCTTTGTGCTCCCTGTGTAGGAGAAATGAATTAGGAGTTAACCCCCCAGCCATGTGAGTTGTAGAGTTGGAGTGTGCTGGATTTTTCCATTGCTGCACATGGATAAGGATGTTAASTGAAAGGAGTTCTGGAAGCTGTCACCAGAGCATTCAGGCATCTGGGGAGTGTTCTAGTGCCAGCAAAAGGAAAATGAGGGGTGTGCACAACAGCCAGAAAAGAGTTACTTTGAATTCCTGGATATTCCTGGTTGGTGTTAGCAGATCTTGGTGGATATTAGTTTCCCCCTGCCCTGGCAAAGCCAGAACAAATCCAGCCACTCTCAGCAAGGCTGGCTTTTCTCTACAGTCTGTGCTGTTGGGTTTTTTTCCTCTGTCTTCCTCTGGCAGTCTGTAGCTCCTTCAGCAAAGCTSTATGAGTTTGGAGCAAGGAGCCTGGAGCTGGCTGCTGGGGYTCCCTCACCAAACAGAACAGSTCTGATTAAATGCAGGCTTTGMYTTCCCCCTGRAATGAGGATGGTGATGAGAATGRGGGAGTAGCAGTGCAAGYTGAAGGAYATCAGACCTGKAGCAGGTTAATCCCAGAATGGGCTGCCTCACTTAGAGCTGGCTTTGCTGACCCTTTCTACAGTGAGACTGATTCCTCATGGTTAAACTTCCCCATCCCATCTCTGAGCCAGCCCCAAATTGATTTGTGCAAATATGAAAAATATTTGGGTATCTCCTGAGGAACAGTTCACTGTACATTTTTAAATCCACATTCACAGACTGTRCTATCTACAGCAAAAAGTCAAATTTCCTGATTCTTGAACACWTAGTAAATACATGAAGTTCTGTTTCCTGGTAGGATTGAAGGGTTTGATCGGTGTGAGTTTTTGTAAGTTTTCTTGATTTCCATAAAAACTCCTTTATAGCTGAATTGAAAGTAGATTTTCATGCTTTAGAAAATCACAGCCTGAGGGAATTTGGCTACAAAAGTACAGCCATGTTTTTAGCTTGGTAGAATTGTTTTGAAAAATCCGTGCCATTCAGTGAGAGCAGGAAATGCTGAAGTTCTGGGTTCATTGGTAACGTGAGCTTTTGTCTCCTGGCAGATTTCCACAAGACAGCCCCSTACGTGGTGACTGGGAGTGTAGATCAAACAGTAAAAGTGTGGGAGTGCCGCTGATGGAGTTCACAGTGACCCCTTTTCCTCTGGATGCACTCAGATACCATGGTTACCCATTGAGCTCTGTTTAAATAAATATTGTCCTTTCATGTAAATTATTCTGGATGTAGATTGAGCTTATTAAATGTTACACACAAAGTATTCATGCATGGTGAATCCAAATTGTATACTGTAAATTTACATACGTTGTCTAGAAGTACCATAGGTTTAAGAACATGGGCTGGCATTGGTCACATCAGACCTGAGAAGGCAGAAGTGGATGATTGGAATAGGGCACTTAACTGAATAGTTGACAGTGTCGTTATGTCGGATAATTATACCTGTTTTTCTTTCTGCTGTCTGTTGGTGCCTGAATTGGTGACCTCATTTGGGAAAAGTTTTGTAGGGCTCTTTCAGAAATGTGTATCTATGTAACATCACTTAAGTGTGCTTAATAAATCTTCTCTAAGAATACTAGATAATAAGGCTGCAATTCAGAATCTTCTGAACCTTATATGTAATTAATGGAAATTAATTAAACTCTGGAATATTTGTCATGAAACATTTGCCAAATCAACAGAAGACACTTGTTTTGGCCTCCTATCACGGAAGGGTTGGTATATTTATAGAACTGACTGTAAACCTGAAATATGGCAACAAATCTTAGTCGCAGCTGATGTGATAAATGTATTTATTTTTTATTTGGTCATTCAATGGTTAAGCTGTGCTGTTAAACTAAGTTTAAATGGGTTTTTTTGTTTGGTTTTTTTTTTATGCTAGACAAACTTCCAGGAGGAGTTGTCCATCCCAATAGAGTTTAGTGATCCAGTTCCCAGTAGAGCTTCCTCTCCCAAATGACTGCCATGGTCCAACTTGCTGTTTGCTTTCCATGTTCGTTAGAGATGTGCAATTCCTATTACACAGCAGGATCAAAGGACACTTCCCTCATTCACTGGCAGGAAATTGGGACATACAAAAGTTTCTTGGATTCCCTAGTGCCTCCTTGGAAACCCTGTGACAGTGAGGTCATCCTCACCTTGGCAATGTGGCTCCAATAAAAACATCCTGGGGTTTGCAAGTGGAGAAATACCTTGGGCTGCAGCATTGAAATGCTTTAAAGGAAGCACTAAATGTCTCGAGAGTCAGTTGACAATGGCAGGTCAGATCCTCACAGGCTTCTAAAAGAAAAACCACCATGAACAAAGCTCACTCCCATCTGTGGGTATGATGCTAAACATTMAAACCAAACCCAAATCCTATCAGCAAAACCAGCCCAGCTCAGTTATTAGTATTTATGTTGTTTGGTGTACACAATTTTTAATTTGCATATCCCTAAAGTTACATATTTTGATCTGAAATGAATGCAAATATTATAAATTAATATTTTAATCATCATTTTTGTGACAGATTCCATTGTAGATAACCAAGAATTAAAATACTTATCAAACTAACCAGGTCTTTTTAAAAATCAACTTGAAAATTGACAGTACAATGAAGTACCAGGCTGATGTTTTTTAACAGGTGAATTTGTGCTTTATTTTATTCCTTTTGGTTTAATCCATGGCTTTTAAAATGTCCATTTTTAAAGCTGAGAGTCCCTGACCAGCACAGGGTGGGCTGGAGGGTGAACACACTGCACTGGTGAGGGGAAATCTCCCACAGTCACCCCWGAAGGAGCTGTTGTTCTGTGGGAGGATCGGGGTGTGGGATTCTGATGTGGGGCTTTTCAGAGCCAGTTTAAGATCCAGGCTRATCTCTTAAATCCAGTGGTTTCTGTCATTCTCAGTGTGTGTTGCTGCAGTTGAGCATGCACGAATAAAGTCTGTTTTGTTCGTTAGCTGCTTGGACTGGAAAAATTTGCTGCTTTTTTTGTCTTATTGGAGAATTCCAGATACACAAGTAGTGCATCTTAAATCCCTCCATGCATCTGCAACTGTAAAGTAGTAACATCTGTTTAATTCCTAGGACCTAGAAACCTTATTTAAGTCTAAAGTAAACCACCSTCATGTACATAACTCAAACCTGAATGAGAAATTAAAGGTACCTGTGATGTGGAAGTTGTCTACTGCATTTTTTCCCATTTATCAGGACAACAGCCCCAGTGCTGGCAGCAGGGTCACTGCTGTGTGACAACATTGCTGCTGTGCAGGATGATTTGGGGCAGAGGGGATGATCTCAGGGATGGTCCTGCCTGGACCAAAGCTGAACCCTGTTTGGAAGGGAGTGAGTGGGACACTCTGGGATGGGCTGTGGAGATGTCACCACTCTTTGTGCCAGCTCGTGCTGTGCCTTTTCTGTGATCAGAACTGCAGCAATGAGGTTACTGGGTCAATAATCAGCTAAATGTACTGGAGGGGTGGAGAGGTTCACTGCTGCTTTGGCATTCCTGACTCAAACTGGCAGCATTTGCCAGGATCCATCTCTGACCTGTGTCCACTGCAGATCCCTGGGCTCAGCCTAGCCCAGGCCCAGGCCAGAAAGTGCAGCATTTGGTGTGGTTTACATAGAAGCTGGAAGTTAATGTTTTATACCATCTTGCACTTTAGAAGGTGAAACAATCCCGTCCTGCTTTTCTGTGTGGTGTGACCAATGTGTGCCCGGGGCACTGAGGAAAGGAAAACAACCTTGGTTGGTGGTGAGTGGGGCTGTAGGCGTGGGGTCCCTGTCTCTGCCTGTTCCTGTCCATGTGAACTGCCTGAGAAATCACTCTTGGACAGCTCCTGAYTTCCCTGAGAGCTGTTTAAAAGGAAAAAAAACCACTTTGTTTTTGTAGACAGTGGTGGCTTGGTAATCCTTTAATGATTTGAATCTAGCAAATGCTGAGTTGAGTGAAGGAAAAGCGCCCTTGGAATGAGCTGTTGTGTCCAGCTGTACATAAAGTCCTGTATTCAATCAATCCTGAGAGTTCTGTAGCAAGAGCACGTGCATAGAGGGGTGGGATGGACGGGAGGGAACGGGGGGGGGTTGCATTGGATTTGCAAATCACAACTGCCATTAACTGGCCTTTTTTATCTTTCCACTGTGTCATGTAAGTAGCTGCTTTCCTGTCCTGCCTGTCCCTCAGGCTTTCCCAAGTTCATTCTGAAGAGAAGTTAGCAAAATGCTCACGCTTTAGAGGTGATCCCGACATGACTTGAAGGCAAATGTCAGATGTTTTGTTTGAGCGCTGGTAGAGGTTGCAGTTGGAGAGAAAACAGTTCCCAGGCTGTAGGAGTAACTGAAGCTATTGACACAATTTAAAAAAAAAAATTGGTAAAGGAATGTATATAATACTGCTCTGTGTTTTACAGTAAGATTTGTTGCTCTCAGACTGTGTAAAACGAAATTTATTCATGTTTTCTGCATATTAAAAAAATCTTATTGTACCAATTGGTAAACTTATTAAATGCATATAAAACTAGATGTGGTTTTGTTTCCTTGGATGCAAGAATTAAAACTATTTTGAAAAAAGCTATTGGTGTTTCACCCTCAGATTTTGCTCCCACCTGCTTTGCCCTTGCTCTGATTTTAATTTAACTTGAGGACACAGGGAAGTGGTTTTGAGGTGGTTCGTGGCAGTTTTAGTAGTGAGAGGTTTTGCTGGTTGATCTGGTGCAGTGATGCTGCAGGAAATGCTCTCTGTGGGTTAAGCTGATCTTACAGGTGGGCAGGAGAGCCTTGGCCACGTGTCTGGCACAAACCTTCTCTCCCTGGGTTGGGTTTGGTTGGGTTTTTCTTTACCTTGACCCTCTCTACTGCAGAATTGTCTTTCACTGCTCCTCACTCAGTGTTGGAATTGAGGGTGGTGATTGAGCACAGCCCTGAATTTTCTGAGTTACACTTTGAGCTCCAGGGGAGGTGGGTACATGGAAACCCCAGGCACTGGGTTATTCTGGCAAGATGTGTTCTGCTCTTAGGATCTTGGACATGATGTGGCTTTGGTTTGATTTTTCCCTGTGATTTTGCCTCGAGTACTGCTTAGATGGGTCAGTGGAACTGGAACTGGAATGGGCACATCTTCATGATGGAAGAGCACGGAYGTGCCCTTGGGGAGAGAATGAAAGGGCATTGCCAGCTGAGATCTGTGGTGAGATTTGGCAGTGGGAACAGACCTGGGATGGCCATTTGGAGGAAAAAAAACCTGAATTTGGGCTCTGCCAGATTCACGTGTGTATGAATGCATGCATGGCCCATCCCATGGGGTGATGGCATGGCACAGAGGCGGTTTTGGGGTTGAAAGGAAAACCTTGTATGTCCACACACAGTGAGCTTCTCCCAGGGAATGCAAGGCAGGTTTAGGTGTGACCTGCCAAGAACAGTCTGGGCARTTTAATTTCCCCCATAGCTCTGTGAGTTGTGCTCATGCAGTGAGTGCTGTGCTGACAGCAGCTCYGTAGGGGTGAGATTGGTTTGGATGAGCTGTTTCCAGTCCCAATAGCACTGATGGGCACTGAAACATTTTAGTGGCCAGGTTGAGTATGAGGTGGTTTGGGTTGGTGGTGTGGGATGCAGTCAAGTGTGCAGGCTTCCCCTTAATTTGCAAGCAGGGAATGCCCTGACAGTTTACAGGTGACTTGTTTCTTGGAAAGAAAGTTGTAGCTTTTGTGGTGTGTGCTAGGTCCAATGACATTTAAGTGTCTGGAAAGAGCAGGGAGGATGCAAATTTGGGTATTTCCAGGTGCATCCTTCACAACTGCTGAGGGTTTGATTGTTCTCTGCAATTGCTTTTGCTGCAGGTCCTTGTCTCAGGCTGTGGCAGTTGCTGTGTGCCCTGGGGACAGCAGGGACACACTGCTTAAACCCTGTCTGGGCCTGACCTGATTGAGGGGGACTGGCAGGTGAGTTCTAGGGCCAGGGTGCCACATTCAGCTTCCTGAATGCCTGCCTGCCTCCAGCCTGGAGTTTAAGAACTTGTGAACAGAATAATGAGAACCTCCCTAACTCAAAAGGGGCAGAGAGGTACAGACAGATGTTGGTAAATGTGATTATTTACCAGCCTGTGTTGTCCTTGGAGCTCCTTGGCTATGAAGCCTCAGTAGCCAGGATTTATTTCACACGGCTACAAGATCCCCAGAGCCCCCGTGTCCCTGCTCCCACAGCTCCCCTGGGACAAGAGGGTGAAGTGACTGAGCACAAATTGRTTCTGACAGCAGAGGGTCCTGCCCCATGTGCTGGGGTTGTGCTTGTACTGGTTTACAGGTTTTAAAGCCTCCAGGTCACTGGTCCTGTCTCTCTGCCCCATTCCTGCTCAAAGAACAGCAGTGGTGGCTCCAGTCCTGGTACCAATGCCTTGCACCAAACCATAAAGAAACCAGTAAAGGACCTGCAAGAGTTTAAAAAGCTTTTAATGGACTGTAAGACACTAGTAAAAGAAAAAATCTTGTAGGAAAGATGCACTGTAGTCATTTATTGATTGCTTTCCAGGAAGTTCAGAATTTTTCTAATAGGAGCAAGTTCATTCGCAGTGAAGACTCTGCTTTGTTGCCTCCAACACCTCGGAGGCTGCTCCCTCCTCCTCCTCCCCTGCCCAGCTCCGAGTTACAAATACCTGCAAGGTGGGACAGGAAAGCGAGGGTACAGAGCACAGGGACAGCACTTTTGTCCCCAAGGGTCAGTAAAAGCAGCGCAGATTAGCACAGATCCAGGACAGACAATGCGAGAGAGGGACAGAGGGAGGGAGAGGCTGTGGCCAGCCCACCCTTCTTCTACAGCTTGATCTGCTTGGAAAACAGGACATTCAACTCTGTCGGCATCCCAGGGGCTGCAGCAGCCACGTCTTACCTGCTGGAGGACAGTGCCAGCCCCACRAGAGGGGACAGGACCATTTCTGTAGTGGCACCTGCCATTCAGTGCCATCCATTGCCAGCAATGGAAGCTCCCGCTGCCAGTCCCAAAACCAGAGTGCAAAAATGCCACACAACAAGGTATTTGCCAGAGGTTTCAGTGCTGGGGGAACTTCAGTTTTTTTATTTAAACCTCCTCCCCAAAACCTGGGACTTTCTGGTTGTGGCTCTGTCAGGTTCAGGGCCCTCAGCTCTGTTGTAAATGAGACCAGGTCTCTATTTCTGAATTTTCCTCCCCTCTTCCCCCCCCCATTTAATAGGGCTGTGATTCCCTCCTCACTCCCCTTAGCTCAGCCCTCATTTGCTGCATTCCCACCTCTCAGAGGCACTGGGGTTTCCACTGCAATGGAAGTTTGTGCGCTTTTTTAAACATCAAGCCCTCACTCTTTGGATACAGTATCCCAAATTACTCAGCTGCAAGCAGAGCAGAGGTGGAACGGTGAATATCATATATATATATATATCTATATATATATCTATATATATATATATCTATCTATATCTTTACCTTGAAAATTAGAATGTTAATGTTACAAAACCCCACTGAATTGCCAAACTGCCAACCAAACATAGAAAAAAAAATGGTTAAAGGAATCCCATGGCTATATCCTGATGTAGAAAATGCTGTACATCCCCCACTTTCACATGTCACAGGCTTCAGTCATCTGAGTGACACAAATATGGCTGTTCTTAGCACAGTCTCGGATWGTGACTGGGGGAAAATCAATCTTTTGGCTTGGAATCCACGTTTTACAASAATGTGGAGCAGTGATGGGGCCGGTTCTGTACTGGTTTAGCAAAGCAGTGTCCTTAAGTCAACATAAAAATGACCTGAGAAATGTTACATCCCTCCAGACAGTTCATTTGGAATCGATATGTACAAAGTAGAAAGAACTCTGCGCACACACACGACACGGACACACACAGGGCAGGTCTGTGCTGCCTCCGGCCACTTCCCCCTCGCGTGGCACACAAAGCTCGGGCACACAGATTACATTGCTCAGATTAGTTCTTT